TGAGCACATTTGTGAATAGTGAGGACATTTGTGAATAGTGAGCACGTGTGAATAGTGAGCACATTTGTGAATAGTGAGCACATTGTGAATAGTGAGGACATTTGTGAATAGAGAGGACATTTGTGAATAGTGAGCACATTTGTGAATAGTGAGCACATTTGTGAATAGAGAGGACATTTGTGAATAGTGAGCACATTTGTGAATAGTGAGCACATTTGTGAATAGAGTGGACATTTGTGAATAGTGAGCACATTTGTGAATAGTGAGGACCTTTGTGAATAGTGAGCACATTTGTGATTAGTGAGCACTTTTGTGAATAGTGAGGACATTTGTGAATAGTGAGGAGATTCTGGACTTTGCAAATACAGTCAAAGCTTTAAACACACACAGACTGGACTTTGCACAGTCAAAGCTTTAAACACACACAGACATCTTCACTGTTGTGTTGTTCTTGATGTTTCTCTCTTCTTGTGTTCAGGGGCCTGTGATCTCACACTGGATCCAAACACAGCAAACACTCAACTCATTCTGTCTGATGAGAACAGGAAGATCACAGATGTGTTTGAGCGTCAGCCGTATCCTGATCATCCGAAGAGATTTGATCATGTTCCTCAGGTTCTGAGTGTTGAGATTCTGACTGGACGCTGTTACTGGGAGACTGAATGGAGCGGAGATAATGCTGTTGTATCAGTGTCATATAAAGGAATCAACAGGAAAGGAGGGAGTGACTGTGTGTTTGGATCCAATGACAAATCCTGGAATCTGTGGTGCTCTAATAACAGATTCACTGTACGTCACAATAATAACTACACTGATATACCTGCTGTCTGTTCATCCTCTAAGAGAGCAGGAGTGTATCTGGACGTGTCGGCCGGCTCTCTGTCCTTCTACAGCGTCTCTGACTCACACACACTCACACACTTACACACACTCAACACTACATTCACTGAACCCCTCTGTGCTGGGTTTGGGGTTGATTATAATTCCTCAGTGTCTCTGTGTGATATTAAACGATAGAGAGACTCTCCGTAAATCCTCTTTCTGATGTTCGCATTAACACAAACTCATCAAATCTCACATCATTACTTTTGTATTCATTCATTTTTAATCAGTTTGTCATTGTCCTCCAGAAGTTATAAATCTAGATCAGACACACTGTTCTGAATCTTTAATAAACAAAGTAATATGATTGCTTTAATATCTATATTGTAAACAAACCATCAAATGTAATAAAAGTTAATTTGTGACTCATTGAATGATGAAGTGGTGTCTGAATCTCTGATGTGAACTGATGATAGTATGAATAATCATGAATGTGATTGAGATCAGCAGAATGAAACA